CTGTCTGTCTGTCTGTGTGTGTGTGTGTGTGTGTGTGTGTGTGTGTGTGTGTGTGTGTGTGTGTGTCTGTGTGTGTCTGTGCCCCCCCCCTCTGCACGGGCCCGTCCAGCTCGTTGCAAACTGCGTGCTTTTGATTCGTCCGCGAGCTTGCTGCAGCAGCAGCTGTTGTTGTTTATCTCGTTGTTTGCTCAGTGCTGTGTGCAGAGCCACACTTCACCTCCATTTTTCGGGCTCCGGCCGGGGCGCGCACGCGGCCCCGCGCGCGCCCGGGGCCCCCGGACCACCTCCACCTACCCGTTCACGGTCCTTCCTGCACGCTGCCAGATGTTGATCGAGCTTAATCTTCCTTTTAGGCGTCCGGATTGTGCCCTCACCCACGGTTTCTCTCCCCCAGCTAGGCTCGACACCAGCGGCAACAAGCTGGAGTCAAACAGCCGAAGCACTTCCGGTCAGACCTTCAGAACAAGACGTGTTTTTCCACTTTAAGTGGATTATTGTTTGTGTAAAGAGATCAATGCATGTGTGATCATCACATGGTCGTGATCAGATAGCAAACTGTCAGCTAATCTGCAACTGTTTCTGTTTTAAGATAATAAAAAAAAACACCCAAAATGACATTTTTCAGCACGTTTTGGATGAATAATCCTAAAATCCAAATGATTTTGCTGATTTAAAAGCAAGCGGATGGCCTGTATGTATAAAGAAAAATAGAATTAAATTCAAATTGTCATTCAAACAAATATTAAACAAATATTCGTATTTTTAGTATATTACAGCAACGTACAAATAATCAAATAAAACATATGTGTGCTGTATTTAGTGTCAACATGGTCTTTTAAAACTAGCACATGGTTATTTGTCCATTTAAAGGAATTATTTTTTTGCTTTTGACAGCTTTTGAATTTCATCTCCTGCACTTTTGGGATTAAAAGTGAAATTAGAGGTGTGTGTCACCAGAATTCAAATGTACTGGATTCAAAATTCTTTCAAATGTTGCTTATTTGTAGGCCAGAGGTTCACCTGGATTTGTAAACGTGTGTTAAATGCGTCCAAACGCTTGGAGTGATCGTAAAATAGCAGACTGAACACATATTTGCTTCTCATAGAAGTGTTGTGTTGTGCACCAAACACCAAGGCAAATTCCTTATAAGTCTAAAAACCTACTTGGCAATAAACCTTATTCTGATTCTGATTCTGATTCTGATATTTAGTGGTTCTACTTCCGGTCCGGCCTCCAGCTTGACGCAGCTCCAGCGTCGCCTGTTTACTGATCCACAGTCCGACGCACGTCGCACACGTGACCAAAGTCTGTGCACGGGCACGCTCTCGCCGTCTTTTTGTGCACGCGCAGCTATTCCCTCATGTTGAGAGCTGCCAGATGCACAATAAACATTTGACTTCATGAAGAAAAGTCTCAACCTCACAAAGAACGTAACTTTTGCTGCTTAGAGTCCAGTTCTGTAGCACCAAGTCCTCAGATTAACGCCATTCCAGGAATAGAAACAGCACAAAGGCATGAAGTCACTTAGTTCATGAGAAAAATGAACAGGTCTAACATGAATCCTTCTTTGGTGACCTGCTGACTCATTGGAGATAAGTCAAGTCGACTATTTGTAAGATATTAGTAGTTTGAATGATGCATTTATAGTTTCTCTAAAAGTCGTAAACAAGAAAAAGACATATAAGGAGGGAGTTTGTCCATAACTACCAAACAGGTGGGTAAAAATACATACAGTGGCATTCAATTTATTTCAAGATACAAACTATGCTGAAAGCACTGGTCAAAAATAATTTTAAAAATGAAAATGAGTAGTTGAGATGACTGCTTTTACATTAGATTGGATTATTAACTGGAATTTATAGGAGGAATGGTGTTACAGTTCAGAGTGAGCAGGCCTTTTATGTGTCTACAGTGTTTGTTTTTGTATCTGCGTGGTCCGTTTCTTTTGTTATGACAGGAATCCATGAGCCTGTGTGTCTAAACCTTTCACTGGTACGGTATCATATTATTTTATGTACAGAGACAACATAAAGAAGATCATTTCCAAAGCATCCACTTTGTTTCAGTGTTCAAAACCAACTTTACTAAGTGACCATAACAGGGATTATGTCATTTAGAAAAACATGAGTAATGCCGCTGGCTCTTAAAGATTTATTGTAAGTAAATTGTAAGTTTATTGTCTATAAAACCGCATGAGTATTGTCAGGACGACTGTAGGGGTGTTGGGAAGACTTGGAAAAGAGTTTCACTGACATCTAGTGGTCAATTTGCAGTACATTATTAAAAACCCAGATTAGGATGAGAGATCATTGCTGTAATTATACTTATTTTAGGAAATAAAAATGTACTGAGCGGGAATTATTAGTTAATCTTCAAAAATAAAGAAAACGGAAGATCTGCTGCAGTTTGATTGGCTCTTTGGTGACTTACGTTTCACGGTGGGCGTGGCCCTAACCGGAAGTGAGACGTAACGTTTGTTATGGAAAAACGAAGCAACCACATAGTCGAAAGAAAGATGGAGGAAAACGTAGAGGAGTTCAAGGTATTTTAATTTGTTTTTTCATTTTGTGTCTCACACGGAGCTGCCGTGGGTTATCGGTGTCGGTCACGTCACGGTCACATTCAGAGTTTGACTTCTTGAGCTCGCAGTTAGCCGATGCTAAGGCTAGTTTTGGGCTGTCAATAACGCTCAATACAGAAAACCAGGACAATGTCCGTTTCATGTTTTCACCTATTTGGATATAAAACGTCACATTCTGTCGTGTACATCTGTATGAGTACTTTTACGTAAACAATAGCTTGCGGACGAAATAGTTATGTCAATAAATAAAAGTCTCCATAAGTTTTTCTGGTCAGGTAGGTTGACTGGTTTCACTGACCTGACTCACGGGCTTCCCCATGGTCATGTGACATGACAGTGTCTTTAGCCTTTCGATTTGTGACTGTACTGGAAATGTAGGCTCAGACTTCTTTATTTATGTGAATTAGTTGTTGTTCTCGGGGGAAAGAGGAGACTGTCAAATGACCATTCAGATGGAGTAAACAACACAGTTTGTGAGACCACTTCTAATCCCTGTGATGGAGTATTGTCTCCTGCTCTGTCATGTGATTATTTGTTACATCAGATCCCACATTTTATGACTTCTGAACTCTTGATGTATCAGCTTGGCTTCCTCACTACTTTCTGAAACGTGTAGAGAAACTATTCCTCCACGTAAACCCATATGAATGCAGTTATCCCAGCCCTTATTTTAAAAAAGAGTTTCAGTTTTGGCTGCTTAATGTGTGTGGGATGTTTCCTTCTCAGCTGATATTTGAGAAGGAGGGGGTGTACCTCCACACCAACGCCAAGAGGAGCAACCTGGACACCTCTATCCCGGGGTTCATCCGGATCGTGGAGCGGGTAAGAACTGTGTGTTCGCTGGCCATGGTCAAAAAGATATAAATAAGATGGCACCAAAGACAGGTTTGCATTCAGATTTTATATGATATAGCATCTTAGAATGCTTTAGCAATGCAGAATTGTATCTATAGACACAATGGTGGAGAAAAATAGTGAAGAAATAAGTTGTTTTAATAGATCAAATGCTTCATAGCTGGAGAGAACAAATGTATCCTGTTGTGTTACTCAAGAGGTCACATTAAATTAACAATGAAAGAACTTCACACTGATGCAAAGCCACTACTGGAAATACAAGATTTGCCTCTAACTTTGATCAGGGAGCGGCTAAAAACAGCTTCTAAAGGCACCTAAGAGATCTGGAATCAAAGCAATGACAGAGAGGTTAAAACATGTCCAGAGGCATTTAAACCCTTTGAAATTCTCTCTCAGAGAAGACTGGTGACATTTAACTGGTACTATCACCAGTTTTCCTGTTTGTCAAGCTATTTTGTTTTGTTTTTTTTCTAGGCTGGGATTCCAGCTTTAGAGTGGAGCCCCCTGGAGGATGAGGGCCGCAGTGCCCCCGCTGTTCTCTACACCAGAAGGGTTAGCAGCCGCCGGTCGTCGTTTCTGTAACAGGCGAGCTGTTTGTGTTCCTGCTGAGTAACATGGGGGCTTCTCGCCGATTAGGATGGTGAAGGAGGGGAGGAGGACACGAACTTTGACCCGGGCTACGAGCCCGACTGGGCGGTCATCAGCACAGTGAAGAAAGACCGCGAGCACGTCCCCATGAAGGATTCAGGTGCGGCTCAGGCTTCGGATCGTTTTTGAAAACCCTTGCACACAAAAAATTTAAAGCAAACGTCTTTTTTTTTCCTGGCAGGCGAGTGGGCCTTCAGCCTCCCTCTGTCGGAGCTCTACTCCCTCCGGAGGGCGCGCTTCTCCCTGGGACGAAACTTCCTGGTGCTGACCAGCAGAGGCGGGCACCCGCTGCCCCCCCTGCACTTCCACAGAGGCGGGACCAGAGAGCTGCTCCGGGCGCTGCAGCATTACATCATCCTGGACCAGTGAGCCCGGCAGACCTCAGCACACCTCTCTGTGAGCCCCCCTCCTCCATGATCCGGCGCGTCTGACCGCTCGTGTGCGCTGGTCTCCCATCAGGTCACCTGTTGATGGGCGGCTCTTCCTGGCATACCCCCGGGACGCCGGCGCCTTCTCCCAGTCCTTCGATAAGCTGCATCTCCTCGACGACGGAGGCTCCGATCTCGTCTCGGTAATTTCCGAAAATTGGATCGCTCGTGATCAAATATGGTACTCGGTTATTGGATGTTAATTTGTATTAGTTTCTTGTTCAGTATCTGGAGGTCAGTTTGGTTTGTGTTTGGTTGCGGTTCAGTTGACCTCAGTTGGGTTGTTTATACTCTTAGTTGTAGTGTGTGGAAGTAGGACATTTTGTTATAATTTTTTATTTCATTAAATTGAAATTTTTCTCATTTTTGGAACACCTTTGTCCTTGATTCAGTCTGGTCCTTCACATTCGGTAAAAAAATTAGTCTCAAATAATGGGTCAGTTAAGCCCCTTTTATACCTCTTAGCCAGGTTTTGTTTTTTAACTCCGCTTTTGTCCAACTCCAACAGAGATTCATCCATGATCCGTATGCCACAACCTTCGGTGGATTTTCCAAAGTCACCAATTTCTTCAGGGCGGCTCTTCGGCCTCCCGACTCGCCGGCCCACTCGGGGGGGTCCGCTCAGGACCGAAATCTGCCCTCGCAGCCCGACGACGAGCCCGGGTTCGAAGTCATCACATGCGTAAGGATCCGGGGATCTGGGGAGAGTCCAGACATGTGCAGGTCTCCCAATGCTGTCTGTTCATGTCTGGGTCTGTTTCTCCTCTCTGGGCTTAAAGCTCGGCCCCCGACCAGACGTCACCAGAGGACACCCGCTGGACAAGTGGGAGGAGTTTCTCGACTCGGAGGGGCGCGTGAAGAACCCGGAGAAGATCAAAGATCTGGTGTTCGGAGGGGTGAGGCCGGCCGGCGGGTAGCTCCGCCTCTTCTGTGAACGTCCAGCACGCTCTAAACCTTTCATGCATAGAGGTCACTAGAGTGGACAGCTATTTAAAAACCATTTTCTTTTGTCTATATGGGTTTTTATATTTGAAATTAACACTGGAGCATGATGCATTAAACATTTTTTTTAAATGTCCACAATAGTCTACTGTTAGAGCTGAGAAAGACTCAAATTAATCAATGACCTGGAGTGAGAAAAGCGATGAGATAGTACAAAATATTTCGATAGGAGGAGACTTACATGCCAAGTTATGTGTTCATGCATTGTGTTAACAAATGTCAAAATATGTTAACACTGTAACATAGTATTTTATTAGTAAGACATTTTAAAAAATGTACTGTTTGTGGACATCTGGAGAAATCCATGAATGAACACAGTTTCCCCCCAAAAAATAATACTTTTTTATAATGTTTTAAAAAACACTGAAAAAAATCCTGACTGAAATAATCATAATTCATGCATGAAAGGGCTAAACCAAACCCGTCTTTTTTCTTCTCCTCTGGGGCCTCGCAGGGCATCAGACCCACGCTGAGGAAAGAGGTGTGGAAGTTCCTCCTGGGTTTCTACCCCTGGAACAGCACAGCGAAGGAAAGGGAAGACATTCTCCGGGGCAAAACGTCAGTGTTTTTTTTTGTTTTTTTTTCCTAAAAAACTTTTAGACGATTTGGTTTTCGAGTCTAAGTGTTCGACTACTTTCTGTGCGTCTGTGTGTGCAGGGATGAGTACTTCAGAATGAAGGTGCAGTGGAAGTCGGTCAGCGAGGAGCAGGAGATGAGGAACTCCCTCCTCCGGGGGTACAGGAGCCTGATCGGTGAGCCCTGCGGCCCAGCGTCCACAGGCGGTTTCGGACATCCGCCTGCCGGACGCTGATCTGTCCGTGTTCTGCCCCCACAGAGAGAGACGTCAGCCGGACGGACAGGAACAACACATTTTTCTCTGGAAACGACAACCCAGGACTGACCCTGCTCCACGACGTGCTGATGACCTACTGCATGTTCAACTTTGACCTGGGTGCGCTCTCCCACCATGATACGCCCCTCTAAAACCAGTGTAACTTTTCTACGTTTCTGAACCAGGACGAGGAAAAAATGAGAGAAAAAATGCCCTGAATTATTTAATGAACTTCACGAAACCGCAGTCGTGCATGAGGTTCAGCATTAAAGTTTAAACATGTGAGGTTTGTCAGAGCAGGAGATTACAAAGAGCTTTACAGAGGAAAATGGAGGACGTGTGCCTTTTGCCTGTAAATAAAACAGCAGCAACTCAATGTAACCAGCGACTAAATTAAGACGCACGAGCCAATCAGTTTCACATGTTCACAGTGCTGAAGGGATTCAGGGTTTCGGCCGGTTCTAAACACCTGTGGGGCTTTCCGTGTCCTTTTCCATGGCTGCAGGTTACGTCCAGGGGATGAGTGACCTCCTGGCTCCCATCCTGTTTGTTACCCAGAACGAAGTGGAGTCCTTCTGGTGCCTGACGGGCTTCATGGAGCTTTTGGTGAGTCGAAGTTTCTCTGGCTCCTACTCCTCTTTGTGTCAGCTCTATAACTGGAAATGATGCCTGTCCCATTACCAGCAATTAAGTGGCTAAAAGATAAGAGTTAAAAGTGTTGGGAATCGAGATTCATTGAATTATTGTCAAACAAAATGAGTAAAAAAATAACCCAAAAACTGGAATCCTTCTCTCTTATTCCCCACAGGGAATATACTCTCAAACTCTCAGAACCTGCTAGCTTGACCAGCTAGCAGGCAAACACATTATTGGCATTAAGGGGAATTTTCCTTCACTCTTTTTCTTCAACAGTTGCTTCGTTTTTAGGCTTAAATTACATTTTCTCACATATCTGCATTTCTTGGTCGGGGAAAATAAAGTGATGCTTTTCCTCTCCACAGCATCAGAACTTCGAGGAGTCCCAGGAGGCCATGAAGCAGCAGCTCCTGCAGCTCAGCGCCCTGCTGAAGGCCCTGGACCCCGAGCTGTGCGACTTCCTGGGTCAGTCCGCTCTCAGTCTCCCCATCAGACTCAACTCCGGCAGGCTTCTGTGTTTTCTGTTAATCATTAAAATGGGAACTTCTGCTTGGTGTGCAGACTCGCAGGACAGCGGCTCGCTTTGCTTCTGCTTCCGCTGGCTCCTCATCTGGTTCAAGAGGGAGTTCTCCTTTGAGGACATCCTCACCTTATGGGAGGTGGGTCCCCTTTTTATATAGCATAACCACCGAGAGCAAACGCGTTGAGAGTTTATGACGAGGCTTTTCTCCGCCCCCGCAGGTCCTCTGGACTCGGCTTCCCTGCGAGAACTTCCACCTGCTGATCGCCTGCTCCATCCTCCAGTCCCAGAGAGGGGAGCTGATTGGCTCAGACCACGACTTCAACACTATTCTGAAGGTGTGTGTGTCTCTGTGTGTGTGTGAGGGGACCACCGGTAAGCATCACACTCACTCTGCTCCCTCCTGATGGATCTGCAGCACATCAATGAGCTGACCATGAAGCTGGACCTGCAGACGGTCCTGCGGGAGGCGGAGGGCATCTACCTGCAGCTGGTCCAGTGCAAGGTGAGAGAGTAAAAAGACGGGAGTCCTCCCCGGACGGCTAACGCGAGTCCCATCCTGATAAAAAGTGTGACAGTTAAATGTTCTGAGCTCCAGAGATGGGCTTCAGTCTCCCAGAAAGGTCCTGTGTAGCTTCTTTATTCAGTGTCTCTCTGGACATTGAGGGGAATGCAGTGTTTCGCTGCCAATCACCCACCAGAGGAGTGGACTTACATTTCTATTCTGCCCGTTTTTGGATTGTTCTGATGGTTGTTTGTATTTGGGAGGCTTTGGCTCCATCTGAAAACTCAATCCAACAGGAGTTTAACCAGCCATTTTTATTCTTTCTGAGGTTTTTTTGTGCTTCCTGACTACCAAGAGTCTTAAGTTGTGTCCTTAAAAGCCTGATGTGTTTTTAGCTGTGTTGTTCCACAGTCAGTTTTTGGTAAGTGCCTTTCTGCCCTCTCTGCTTGGGCTTCCGTTTCCTCCCTAAATGGAGGTCATTTCCTGTTTGGATCCCGACCACCCCTCAGACTGGCCCTCATACTCTGCCCTTTTCTGCCCCCCTCAGGAGCTTCCCCTGCCGGTGCAGCGGGTCCTGGGCCTCTACGTGCCGTCCAGCTCTGAGGAGGACAGCCCGGACTCGCAGAGCGGCGAGCGGCGGCGCCCCGTCCAGCCCTCGCCGGCGGGAGCCGCCTCCCCCGCTTCGCCACGCGTTCCCACCTACCCTTAACCCCCTAAAACAACTGCCCGACCGGCGGTTATCATCAAATGTCCGAACGATATTTAGCAATGAAGTATACACAAGAAGGAATGTGCTGTGATCGGGAATGTGGAATGTTATTTCTTTCAGAGGCAGGGGGCGCTGTTGAGGTTACTTTCCTTTGATATGAGTTTAAAAATCTGTAATGTTTCCTTTTTTGTGTGTGTTTGTGTGCCCTATTTGGTCTCAACAGCTCGGTCTTTGTTTTACATGCCATTTTGTTTCCCTTCCGCGTCCTCCCGACCTGCTGCTAACTGAGAAGCTGCACTCCAGGGGCTTCCTCTTTAGTTTCTTTGTCCGGTCGTGCCACCTCTCCTCTATATCTGTAAAGGGAAGACATGAAGGTTTGAACTCTCCGGCAGCATCTGGTTAGTGTTTTAATCATGCCATTCCAGCCCCTATGCAAAGACTTTGCATGCCTTATAGTTTTTACAAGCCGCGTGGTAACATTTTAAGCCTTGGAACTCTCCGTATTATGTAATAGCGTTTTCATCTTCATAATTACCGAATAAATATTTAAACCTTCCCAAGTCTCCGTGCTCAGATGGCTCCTGAATCTGTGTTTTTTTTGGTAATTTGAAAGAAAGCCGCATTCAGTGGCAGAAAAGTTCAGTCCTCACGTATTTCAAAACAAAGCCAAAGATCCTAAAGGTGCATTTCAACCCCAGGATCCTCCTCTGAAATAATTTAAAGATGTTTTTATTCCGCTCTAACGCAGTTTCTTGGGCCGGCTGGTGTCAGGGGCTGATAGCAGCCAGGGGGGGGTCAGCGGTTTGATTCCAGCCTACATGTGGAGGAGTCTTTGGGCAGTGTATCCTCAGATGGGTGTGGTGTTCTGGTCGGGCATCTGCTGTGACAGCTCCTGCCAAACCGGGCAGCTCTGACAAATAGGAACCCAGAGAGGTGAAGGTGGAACAAACCATTTTAACCATTTAGTCTAATCTGAGAAAAAAAAAACAGATTCTTTATTTGGCCCTTTAACAAATCATGAAAAAAAAAAAGAATAATTTTTGAATATTCATAATTTATCACAAAATTATTGTGGTGTAGTCTTCTGCCCGCTGTTATCGTGTATATCTGACTGTGCACAACAGGGTTTTGAGCAAAGTTTTTACCATTAAATGATGCAAAAGGTCTGAGATGTAAAAGAGCTAAACTAATGGGAGAGCGTTTAAAGTCTGGAGTTGACGTAACTTTCCAGCAGGGACCAAAAACTGTTGAGTCCTTTTGCTCTGCTCTGCCTTAGTGGTTGTGGTCAACAGTTTTATGAGTCACATGATGAGTTTTATTCTCATATTTCTACCATTCAGGCGACTGGACCCTCCTCATGTTTTTTGGACACTCTTTTGTTATCTGGAACCTCACATTTGGAGCCACACTCTGCTTTTAGGTGAGCATTTTGAGCTGGAGTTAAAGAGCAGCGTGATCTTCTCCCCCATCACATACTTGTTTAAATAGTGTCTTAACTTGTGAACGGGTTAAACTTTGGCCCCCACCCACCCCCCCTCCCCCACCAGCCAGCAGGTGTCTGTGTGAGGTGAATGGTCGAGGGGAAAATGGGACCAGTGTTCTCGGCCGTCCGGGGAAATGAGCTGGAAAATGAGGGGCGGGGGGCCACGCCCCCTTCTCAGGACCCGCTGCACGCCTCTTTTGGCTGCTCGCTGTCCCTGTGCCCCCCCCCCATGCTTGTTGTTTGAATACAGCTGCGGCGTATGAATTTAGCAGGCTACTTAAACAGGCTGATGACCTGCCACTCCGCCCCTCCCTCACCCCTCCCTCCCTCCCCCTCTCCCTCCCCCCCAGGCCACCCCAGCCTGACCTCGCTCGACTGGTGGGGCCAAAATTCACTCGTTCCCTCATTCAGACTCAATCTGCTTTCAGCCCCTCTAAGAGTGATTTGCGCTCAAAGGCCTGGTCAACAGCTTTAAACCCGATATTCTGGGGCTAATGCTATCATTAACCGGGATTAAACCCTCTTCATGTGACCATTATGCTGATAGTTGGGGTCCCCGGTCGCTGCTCTCCTCCTTGTGGGGAGGGAATAAAACCTGCTGACTTTGCATGTCTCATTTCCACTAAAACTCGCGTTGAAGACAGTTGCCACTCACTTTCATTTCTCTCAAGTTTTCAAAGTCAAAGGCAGGAACTTACTACCATTTGAGACCTAACAAACAACTGTGTAATTAACGTTAAACATAATTAACATAAAACTAACATTAAGATTATTTGGGTGCAAAAGTCTGCAGGTAATAATGAACAGAAAATGAAGGCAAATACAAAAAAGACCCACAAAATCAGGAGAATTTAATAAGTTAAAAACAAATAAATGCCTCTGAAAAGTTTTAAAGTTATCTGAATAGCACAAATATCCCAAAGAGATTAATGAATTATTCATGTGTAGTTTTGTGTCACAGTAGGCTTCTGTTCCTCACTTTGAAAACTCCTGCTGTGTGTGGATGGAAGGTTGATTCAAAACATCCCGAGAAGTCTCTTTCCAGATAAGAAATAAATGACCGACTGATGGAGAACTCAGCACAGCTCCACTTCACAGCAGGGGGAATGACTCGTGCTTTCTAAGAATCTCAAACACGAACATCACAAAGTTGTGGAGTTTTGGTAAGTTTTGTGTGAGGCAGGATGCTGATGAGGGACAAAAATTTAGCTTTATGTAATGTGAAAATGAAAAAAGATGCCCCAAACGCTATACTAGAAGATAAAGAGTTTTTTATGGATATTACTTCCTCTGTTTTTTTTTCAAAACTATTTCAAAAGCGTGCTTCACATCTGGTTATTCTTGGCATTTTGCTCATTTTTCTGTCAGAAAATTGGGTTCTGTTGCTGGACCGTATTCAGCTCAAATGCCATGTTCACAGACGGTGGTAACTATTACAATAACACACGTTATACTTGTACTAAGTTCTTCTTAGTGCATGACTAATAACACACGTTTAAAAACAATTTTTTTGCCTTTTGTCTTGTCAAGCTGCTAAAACTGGGTGTCACATTCGAGACGAGACGGAGAATGAATAATTGATGCTCAGCTGAAATCAAGTCCTGGCGCCCGCAGCATGGCGTCCATTTAACTCCCGTTTGAAATCCAACCTGCCATTGTGGCCCTAAATGTGTGAAGAGCCACCTGTAATGACCGTGTCAAATACAATCTGTATCTCCACTGGTGAGTGCGAGCCCATTGTGACCGTCCGAGGAGCCTCTGGGGAGCGTGTGAAAAGTGTGTCTCGCTCGTGAATGCGTGACGGTGTGTGTGTGTGTGTGTGTGTGTGTGTGTGTGTGTGAGCAGAAGGCAGAAGGCCAGGGCCTGCTGTCTGACACTGATTTGTAAAGGGAGACAATACGGCTCATTGACCTGCCGGGCTCTACTGTCTGTTGCACATACCTCGCCCGGCCCTCCCCGGTGGCCCCGGTGCTCCTTAAACATGGGCAGCAGATTGTCACAGGCATGGGGGGGGGATGAGGGGGGGGCTGCCGGGACACAGGTTGCTTTGACAATGAGAAAAGACAGAGCCAAAACTTTGACGAACACATTCACAGTGTTTGCATTTTGACATCTTTACTGTTTTTCTGCCTGATTTGACCTAATTTTGGAGGTAAATGTAGTCTGCATCTAGTTTAGTTGTTGTTTTTCAGCATGTTTTAAATGGTTTCCGACTGCTTTCAAATTTTGTTCTGCAATATTTTGCTCATCAAGTGATAGAAGCTGGAAACAAGCAGCTTCTTTTTGCTTCAGAAACAGTTGACGAACGTGCAGAAGTGAACAAAAAAACGGTTCATCTTTTAGATTTAGTTATTTTCCAACAGAGTGAATTAAGTACTCACCTTAAATCATCTCAAACCTCCGACCACTGGATGCTGCGATCACAGGGAGACATTCCTAGGATGGAGTTTTTCATGCTTAGAGCAAAGCTAAAGCAGTCGGGCTTACTATCTTTAACCCTTACAGATTGGAAAAGTTCCCTAAAGTTCAGTTTTAATAAAACTGAAGATGCTTTCCAACTCGGGAAGGGCAGATCGGAGTGTTTGACACTCCTCTGCTCGTGTTGTAAACAAACCCTCTCATCCCTTTGTCATCCACGCCCATTGTCAGAGTCTGGAGATGACCTTTTTCTCTCCTCTCCCCTCGCTGCCTTTTCTTTTCCTCCCTTCTCTCTTTCACTGTCGACGACAAGCTGTCGCCGGGTCCCTGAGGGCCACTCCCTCTCTTGTCTGCGGCCCTTCTCTCCCCTCCCTGCCTCCCTCTCTCCCCTCTCCGTCCTTCTCCCTCTCCCCACCTGTTGAAGCAATTGTTGCGCCGGCCGTATTGTTTGGTCTTCGTATTATTATTATGAAATGTCACTCATGGAGGGTCGCCTCCCCCTTTTTCCCCTCCCTCTTTCTCTCGCCGCTCGCTATAAAACCCTGAGAGAGCGGCGAGGGGCTACATTCAGCCGGGCGCCTCATGACGACTCATCGCACCCGGGAAGAGCGAGGATCTTCAGGGATTACCCGCCGTGCACTCACCTGGAAAACAAAAACAGCAGAGGAACAGAAGAAAAAACCCTTTTGCTTTCTTTCCCTCTTGGACTAAAAAACGCCGGGGCGAGCTGTGAAGATGGACAGAGGGATGCCCGTGTCTCTTTGGTGTGAGGAGTCGGAGGAGGACCAGAGTCAGGGTCAGGGCGGGGTCCAGGCCCAGGCCCCGGGTCGGACCGGGGCCTCCCCTCAGCCCCGGGCAGCCTGGGACCCCAGCGCCTCGGGCCACCGGGTGATCCAGAGGCTGCTTCTCACCGAGGAGAGGTACGCGCCCTCCCTGCTCTACGTCACGCTCATCCAGAGGGACCCGGAGCGCCGGGAGGAGCTGGCCAAATGGGCCCTGGAGGTACAACCCCCCCCCCTACCCAGGTCTCGGTATCCCCCCGGCTCTGGGTAAAAGCGTGTGACCGGGTCCGTCCTGTTTTTATGTCCCTGCAGGTGTGCGGCGAGTGCGGCTGCGACGAGGCCGTCTTCCCCCTGTCCGTCTCCCTGATGGACCGCTTCCTGTCCGCCCGCCTGTCCCTGCCCGTGTCCCTGTACTGCCTGGCCTCCGCCTGCATCCTCATCGCCTCCAAGCTCACCGAGTGCGACACCGTGACCGCCGACACCCTCTGCGCCGCCGCCGAGGCCAGCTTCCAGCCCTCCGACCTGCGGGTGAGTCCATCCTTAGTCCATCCATCCATTATTGTTACCGCTTATTCCCTAATGGGGGAACTGGACCCTATCCTAGTGGTCTATGGGCGAGAGGCGGGGTACACCCTGGACAGTCCGCCAGTCCATCGCAGGGACACACAGAGACACACAACCACCCACACTCACACTCACTCCCAAGGGCAATTTGGAGTGTCCAATCAACCTAACATGCAGGTTTTTGGACGGTGGGAGGAAGCCGGAGAACCCGGAGAGAACCCACAGACACAGGAGAACATGCAGACTCCTCCCAGAAAGGTCCTGGTTCCCCCGGGGACTCCAACCCAGAACCCTCTGGTTCTGGTTCCCCCGGGGACTCCAACCCAGAACCCTCTGGTCCTGGTCCCCCCGGGGACTCCAACCCAGAACCCCTCTGGTCCTGGTTTACCCAGGGACTCCAACCCAGAACCCTCTGGTCCTGGTTCCCCCGGGGACTACAACCCAGAACCTCCTTTCTTTGGGCTAACCACCATACCACCATCTCCTTAGTTTCCCAGTCCCAGGGGTTCTTTCCAACTTTCTCGCTCCAAACCATCAGAGGTGCTCATGAACTCCGTTTTGAACGTTTCCTTTGAGTCTCTGATCTAAACGTCGTGTGTCCGGCTCTGGCCTTCAGGAGATGGAGCGGCTCATCCTGGCCACGCTGCGGTGGGACACGGCGGCGGTCACCTCGCAGGACTTCCTCCCGCATTTCATCGCCGCCGTGAGCGAGCCGTGGGACTCGGAGCCGGAGCTGCTGTCCACGCTGCGGCGGCACAGCGACACGCTGGCCGCCCTGTGTGCCTGCGACGCCCGCTTCCTGGGGGCGCCGCCCTCTCTGGTGGCCGCCGCATCGGTCAACTGCGCCCTGTGGGGGCTGGGGAACAAGGGCTCCACCCGGCTGGCCTACCTGAGCGAAGCCCTGGCAGAGTTATGCCGGACGGACGTGGTGAGTCAGATGATAGTAGAGACCCTTTTTTTTATTATAAACTGATCCAAATGCAGGGATGTTGCTGATTGTGTTATAAAACTAACTCCCCCCGTCTGTTTTGCGTCCAGGCGGTGCTGCAGTGCTACAGTGAGATGATTGAATACGCCCTGAAACAGAGGTTGACGAACGGGCTCCAAGGCCCCACAGAGAAGGGGGACGAGGTGGAGAGCGAAAGGCCCGGAACACCAACTGACATGAGAGAGATTGATTTCTGAGTACTTAATCAACTACACTGAGAGTATAAATCAATCAAAACCTTTGAAGTCCATCAGTCAAACTGATATAAATCTATTAAACCTCAACATGCAATGACATGTACTTATATAACTTTAATTATCTCATTGATTCACTGTTAATTTATTTTAATTTGATTGTCTTATTTATTATTTGTGAACATTGTGCCATACTTGATTATCTATTTCCGTTTGTTTTACTAGTGGGCCTATTGTTGTTTTGATGCATTATATTTATATCTTTATTTATGACCACGTGCAATTGTTGACTGTTTTTATGTTAATTTATTTAAGCACGCCATGATTTTGTTGTTGTGAGCTAAACGAAAGATACCGAAAATCTATTTTTTCAGAGCAATTAAAAAATGCTTGAACCGATTTGAGTTTCCTGTTTTTTTGGGGGAAATGATGCCTTCAGGTACTCATCATAGGCACGTACTTCCAAAGCTTTTATCTGTCGCACAAGTTCAGTGTTTAATATGAAAGTAGAACGAAGTAGAATATGAACACATTGATAAATATTTGCATGTTTTATAGTGAGCTAACTTCAAATAAAACAATGCACTATATTTTCCACCATCAATTAAAAAAATATGTATCTTGGCTACACGGTCAGGAAGGTGACATATGCATCATAAGAACTTTGCCATAACTTCTGTTCATGGAACAACAAAGTGAACACTTAGTAAGT